AGGCTTCCTTTTTGTGATTGAGTTTGTCCAGGAGCTCCTTGTTCATCCATGCAGGCCTCCTGGCATTTTTGCCTGACTTCCTCTTTGTTGGGATGCATCGCTCCTGAGCTTGGAGGAGGTGATGCTTGAATATTACCCAGCTTTCTTGGCCCCTCTTCCCTCCAGGGCTTTATCCCATGGCACTCTACCAAGCAGATCCCTGAAGAGGCCAAAGTCTGCTCTCCTGAAGTCCAGGGTAGTGAGCTTGCTGTGAGCTCTTCTCGGTGCCCTAAGGATCAAGTTTACATACTGCACTGTGACTGACTGTTGTTTTGACCTTGGCTATGACTCTGGGCCAGATTTGGGTTGATCAGGAGGTCAAAATTGTTGTTTGTAATGGTTAGGTGTTACACTGAATTTTGAGACAGTCTTAATTCAAGTCATTTGGTAGAAGGTTAAAACCCCAAGTCTAGTAAATTCATCAGTGAGAGGGTACCAGGACTGAATCTACCTTAAAAAAACCAGAAATGATATTCAGGTTCCTGAACCTCAGATCACTGACAACGGAAAAAAGGAGAAGAAGAACCTATGGGCTAGACAGTGAAGTACCAAGTGTGGAGAATGGTGTGGTACCAGCTAGAGTTACACTGATGAAGATCCTCTTCAGACATCTGTGGAGAACTTTATATCAGTAGAGTCACTTTGCGCCAGCTCAGCATCGACACACTGCTGTGGTGGTTTTGAGGATATCCAGCATCCTATCACCGTTATCTTTGTGGAACCAAGGTCTAAACATTTTGACTTTGTAGAACTAAGGGCAGAGCATTTTACTCAACACTCTAAATCCCCAGGCTCCGCTAAGTATCACTCTCTGCCTGCCCCTGCACACTGTAGAAAGGGACTGAGCACAGTAGTTACCTAATTGCCTATTGCCACAGTAGTTACCTAATGACTGTGTGTCATTAGCTCACAGGGTAATTACAACAACTATTGTTAATTAATAGTATTCCTTGTTAGCTGAAGAACAGGTTCTAGGCAATTCTTTTATTTTCGCCAAGAGTCTCTGAATTTCAGAGATCCTGAATTGATTTAATAGGCTTTAATACATATATTCTTGTGTAACAGACTATTAAGGGTAGTATCACTCGTCAGATGTCAAGCCCTGCCATACGTACGTGTGCAAGAATATAAATGAGCTCTTCCTATGAAATGAAAATATATACAGATAACCTCATGGCAAAAATTTCTGAGAAAAAAGCACAGCAAGCCTATTAATGTTCTGAGAGTTTATTCATCTAAAAATGGTTTATGTAAAAAGACATGAAGTGAATACTTTTCTCGTATATCTGACTATTACCTCAGATATCTCAAGAGGATCCCTGAAAGGAATCGGTTAAGTATTTCTAGAATAGTAGCTTTGGACAAGCAACACATTGTTAGGTGAAGTCTGGGAGAAACATTTGAGGACTAGGAGGCTGCAGACTCTCCCTTTCCCTTTACTGGTAGAAAGCCATCGCCTTCCTTTGCTCGGGGTTCTGGCCCTTTCCAGAAGTTACTTTACACTAGGAGGCACTGAAGGATCTGACATTTACACAAGTAAACATATCTCTTCCAGTTGATGGGCGTTTTATTACTGCATCTTTGTGTTCATGATCTTAAACTGGTAAGCATTACATATGTAAGAACAAGCCACATAGGAAGCTTCCCTTGAGGTCCAAGGGGCATCTCTTAAGACCCACTATGAGGATCCAACAATTAATGTCTTTTTTTTTGATCAAGGACTGTAGTGACTTAAGATGAGGGAGATGGTGAGTGTTCAGACGCAGTTCAGTTTCTCTCAGCTCTAGGATTACCATTTCTTAGTACGTCATTCTTTTTTCCCTAACTCGTCTTTTTTTTTTTTCCTGTCATTTGCTTTTTCCCTCTGTACAAACACGGGAAGGGAGCTGCAGGTCCAGCCTATAGCTGTTTGGCTGACGCTTACTCAACTTACAGAGAAAACTTATCATTTGGTATTTTACCGGTCTACTCTCACAATGTCACAATGAACTAGATCTCCAAAACAAAACAGAATTGTAGAAAAAGCTCAAACAAAGCCCCCCCCTTCCCCGCTTTCAGTGTAGGTAGGATATGAAAACCTTACCTAACCTATGCAACTCTTTACCTAACTGGCATGTGAGTTACTTTCTTTGTTTTAATTTCGGAGTTGTTCAGACTCCTGCAACTCCCCAGACACCTGCCTCCTTCCCTCCCGCCTGTTTGGAGAGCCAGGGGCTTTTTTGGCCTGAGGAGAGAGGTCACTGCGGTTTGACTGGTATTTTTGAACACGGCTAATTCCTCTCAGAGCCATGTTCCCCTCATGTTTTATTTCCTTTGTGTTCTTTCCTCGGTCAACTAAAATATTTTTCATAGAAAACGTTACCGAGAAGTTTAATATTTCTTTCATCTCCGATCAGATGATCACAGCTGAGTTATTTCTACCTCATGCAACTTACTTGTGGTACGTTCTGGGGGTAAAATCCCGCAGTTTAGCGTAACTCGCGCTCTCCCGTTGCCTTTGGCGGTAACCTGCAGGCACAACAGGCAAGCTTTTGTCTAATTACAGCCCCTTCAAAGCAAAACCGCCCCGCAGCCCGCTGCTCCGGCCCGTCCCCGGCTGCACCCGCTTGTTAAGAAGCGGCAGCCAGGCCCCCGCCGAGCACCGCGGCCCTTCCTTTGGGACGCCCGTCTTCACGGCGAGCCTAACCCGGCTAGGCGG